TCCCATCCCCCAGCTGTGCACGTGAGGTGCCGGTGAGCAGCCCCCCCTTTTAGCCAAAGGCGCTGCATGCCCAGTCCCAGGGGGTCTGCGTTTTCCCACAGAAGGAGGCTCCACTGTGTGCGTGACTGCGTACCTTGACTTCATACCACTGCTCAACCTCTCTGCGGTTCTTCTCGATGATCTGCTCGTATTCGTTTCTCAGGTCGTTCAGGATCTTTGTCAGGTCTTCGCCGGGGGCAGCATTGACCTCCACGCTCACGTCACCACCAGTTTGAGACTGCAGCTGTCTCATTTCCTGCAGAGAGTCCAAAGAGAGAAACAAAGAGCACAGGTCAGTTCTTGTGTTGGGGACAGTGGGCGAAGCAGCGTCAAGGTTCAAAGGACTGACAGTCACATGACATAAGGCTGAATGGACTTGATCTGTAACTTTGGGCACCCTGAAGAATCCCAGGACTGTCTTGGCCACGCCATTTATCATTGGATCGTACCTCCTCATGGTTCCTCTTAAGAGCAATCAGCTCATCCTTCAAGGACTCTAGCTCAGATTCCAGTGAAGATCTAACCAGAGTCAGGTCATCCAGGAGATTTCTCAAGCCATTAATATCAGCCTCCACAGTCTGACGGATGACCAGCTCATTCTCATACCTGTACCACAGACAAGATGGACAGAGAAATGGAGAAATGAGATTATGACCGTCAATAGCACACATCTATCCAAGGTCAATATCCCAATAAAACATGAAGACTCAGTAGCACCACGTGGGCCAGTGCTGCCTCATCTCCTGAGATTATAAGATGGACTTGAAAGACATGTAAGGTTCATGGAGAGGTACTCACTTCATTCGGAAGTCATCAGCAGTCATCTTGCTGTTATCGATGTCCAGAAGCAGTCTGTTATTGTCCACAGTGGCAGAAATAATCTAGAAAAGGAGAAGTTGGAGAGGAGTCTTTCTGTGTTCAAGACATCCAGGACAAGAAGAAGGAAGAGCCCAAGGCTTCGTTAGGGCGCTGTTGTGGGTCTTAGGCTTGTTTCCTGCAGTAATGCAGGGGCCACAGGAAGCTGTGGAACTGCCATGACACAAGAAGTGGTGTGTGCAAGATTTTGGCTTCTCAAAGATTCTGGTGAAAGACTATATTGATGAGGGAAAGCAGAGAAGAACATTTATGCTGGGAGATCACCAACGCCTATGGGTTTCTGCTCTCTGGGTGTATAAGGAAGCGTAGTCTGTCCCTGATGCTGTGATTCGTCTTATTATAAAAAAGCTGATTGTGAGGGAAGGCCGTGGTCCTTCCATCTGGTACATGTAGGAGTGTGCAGAGACAAAGGGAGTCCTGATCTTGCAGTCCAGGTGCTTTGGCTTGGCACTCCATCCCGCTGAACTGGGAAGGACTGGAAACCACCCATGCCTGGGTTGGAGCCACCTGTACAACGTGGGATTTCAGTTACGTGCACCAGCGTGTTTGGGCCTGGTGGAACACTCCTTTGAAGCCACGGGCTGTGCCCCCAGAGCACATCCCTTTCGCTTGTGGGGTGGTGGGGGGTTTGCTTACCCAGGAGGTGGGAGGCGCGGCTCAGCGGGTTTCTGCCTGCGGTACCACCAGCAACTCCCGTCCAGCAGCTCCCGCCCACCCCGTCAGAGCCAGGGCCAGAGGGAAGGAGGATGTCCTTACAAGGGGGAACGGCATGTGGGAGATGGAGCCACGTTAGTCGGGGCGATCCTACCTGATTTTGGAGTTGTTCGATGGTCTGGTAGTAGGAGGTGTAGTCCTTTGAAACACTGGGAGCTTGTTTCCTGTACCACTCCCGGATGTGGTGCTCGAGCTGAGCATTTTCTTCCTCCAGCCTTCGCACTTTGTCCAGGTACGTAGCCAGGCGGTCATTGAGGTTCTGCATGGTGACCTTCTCATTGCCGCTCAGAAGGATGTCCCCCCCGGCACCAAAGCCTCCACCAAAGCCACCACCAGGGCCTCCACCAAAGCCTCCACAAAAGCCTCAACTCCACCGCCATAGCTGCCACCGCCTGTCACAGAGGAGGCATATCGCCTGCAGGAGACGGAGGAACTCCTGCCACTACCGCCACCACAGCCACCTCCACCTCCACCGCTCCTGTAAGAGGTGCTGGATGTTCTCTTGATGCTGCAGCTCATGGTTGGAGTAATCAGATATCCAGCCCCAAATGCAAAGCCCGTAGCACAGCGTGAAACAGAAAATCAGACTGCAGCCTTCTGTCCTCGCTGGTGGCTATTTATACCCTGTTGGGTGGGTGTCACCTGGGAGGCCGTGCAGCTTCCCATGGCGGTTGCCAGCCTTAGTGCTCATGCCAAAAGTGATGTGCTAAGGGAATTTTTCTGAGGTAAGTATAATGCATTACCATTCTGTTCAAGTATGTCTGTGTTGATTCACACATAGCTTGCACTATAATTTTATGTGGGTGGCTCTTTGTTGGATATTTTGTTGGATAATATAATATCTCATAGACTCTATTAATCTGGCAATATATCGCTAGAAATTGGAGTTAATGAAGGCTCTGCCTTGCTTGTCTGTCTCCTTCTGTCTTCTGTGTGGTGAAATTCAGCATTTCAGCTTTTGTATTCCTCCTGTGATCACAGACAATGATTTGTAAGACCAGCAGCCGCCAAGGGACTCATTAATTTATTTGAAATTTACATTAGCTATTTAGAAATATACTTTACTGAAATAAATTATTAATTTTAAAAACTGTATTCCCATGTCTGTTATAGAAGAGAACTTCACACTGAATTTTTTACTTTATTGTCACTGCTTATATTGAGGAACGTTCAGCTGGTATTTAACTCTTTCTGAAATGCAGGATGGTGATTTCAGTGATTTCTCTTGTTGAAGAAACTGTGTGACAGCTGCAAAAGTAGTATTTTGCAAGGGAAAATATATTAAATCTTTGCCTGTCAAACAGCTATTAATTTTATTTTAGCTTGTTTAAATAGACTCAGAAGAAACTGAGAAATGTTTGATGTTTCATATTTTCATAATCATATTGAAAATAGTTGTTTATCAGAATATGTCCTTGAATTAGATAATGCAGTAAAAAATAAGTTTGATGAAAAGATACAGTGCTGAAGATTAGGTCTGAAAAAAATATAACAATTATCTGAACTCATTACAGTGAACTGTGTTTGCCAACGGTGAGAGAATATCTTGCAACACAAAACACAGAGTAAGAAACACTTGTGTGGTTTTTTCCACTGCCTATGCAGTGTGGGATGTTCAGTGAGTTGCTTTTTCTATCTTTACTAATCAAGCTTCTGTGAAACCGAGAAGAGCCTTGAAGAGAAGCTAATTCTGGGGTTTCAGCTGTGCATTAAGTATTGGCACTCGAACTCCTACAGAAGAGTCATCTGGCTAGTGCAAAGGAAGCACAAGTTGCTGGTGGAACCTGCTGTGAATTACCACCTCGAAATCAGCTTATCCACAGTGAGGGAGGATGAATTCAACCTAGAAGCATTTTAGGAAGAGATTACATATTACAGAAGAAGAAATAAACTCATTCAAATTAGCAAAAGAAGAGTGAGAAGGGGTTGAGTCACCTTACACATGAAGGTGCGCATCAGAGGAGGGAGTAGGAGTGTTTGAAGCTGAAGACAGCGTGCCTGTGTGTGTCCCGTGGATGTAAAAGGATCTGTGGCTGAAGTCCTGAGCAGAAGCAGCTCTCACCTGGGCTGTGCTCTTGGCGAGCAGCTGCTGCCACTCAGCTTCTCAAACACCCGGGGAAGCAGCCTCCTACCTGCCTGTCTCCCGCAGCGAACCTGCTGCCACCGTGCCTCTGAGAACTGACGGACAACTTGAAAATACTACAGCTTCACCCTGCATGAAGCCATATTCTCGTAGTGTCTCCCGGGCTCGTTTTTTTCAATAGGTTTATGATTTTACAACAGCCTTTTGTATAACCATATATGTAATTTTCTTCTTTTATCATAAGAATGATACAGAAAGGCTTGTCAACAAAATATTGTTGGATTGGGAGGCGAGGGGTGTGAACTGTTCCCACTAGAATGTTATCTGCTACCTGTAGAAGTGCTTAGACTGTAGTGACTTAATATGCAATGAGATGGAAACTTGAAGTGCCGAATCGCAGTGCTTGACTTCAGCTGCCTGAAGGCACGTCCTTGTAGGTACTGCCAGTGACTTCCAAAGGACCTAGAGGTGGTAGCTCTGACTGCAGAAGGAAAGGGATTTCAATATATGGGAAATACTCCTTAAGAGAGAAGCAAATTTTTGAACTTAAAGTGAAACTCAATCATGAAAAAAATCTACAAAATTATGACTTATCAACTTCTTGTCAACTAACTTTAATTAGAAACACCTTCATGTCAGTCGTGATTTTGCATACTGCTGTGTCTAGAGCGAGTGCTGTCGTATCCGTGCTCATGATGTGCCTCCTTCTGAGGCGGAAACCTTCTAGGATACTGTCAAGTGCATGTGCACAAGTTTTTTCTATATGTTTTCCACCATTCCTGGAATCTTTTCCAGCTCTATCGTGTTATTTTTAACACAGGGTCACCAAAGTTACAGCACTCAAAATACAGCCCAGGTTATCTATGTGCCCTAGACTGATACAGTGGAATTAATGATGTTCTTCATTTTGATGTTCTGTATATCGAATCATCTCTGTGGCCACAGCCCTGAGGGGGACATATCCCCGGATTTCATAGTTCTCTGTGGAAGACTGCAGCTGTGTTCCATTCATCCAAACATTCTCGCTGTCTAGATCCACAGGGCTTTCCCCAGTCTTTGTTCAAGACACACTGAGATTCCTTATTCCCTGTATACTCTCTTTTCATTTCCTTAGCCACACCAGTGACCTTCTCCTGAAAATCCTTCATTCCCTCAAACTGGGCCTCTTCCTAGGTGCTGTCTCCATTCTGCCTATTTTAACCCTTTGTGAACTTCATTATATGGTGTGTAGCCCTTAGTGCCTGTTGGGCAGCAAGGTTATTACGAGACAGGAAAATAAATACTCTTTAAAGTTTAATTTAAAGTGTAGAATGACATCTGTGAAGGCAGTTGTTCCATATGAGGTGCAGGAGGTAAGAAGATAGTACCCTCTAGAGGGCTCTGTTCATTACTTTGAAATAATCCACATGCCATTTACTACGGACATCACATCTCTTTCTAGATGATGTGTGCAGTCCAAGTACCTAAAACAAAGAAAAAGAAATCGGCATTACTAGAGTCTCATCCTGCCTGTTGTGTGTCACGGGAAGTATTTGTGTAGCACAAAGTCTGTTTAACAAGTCTGCAACCGGGTTCATGCGAGTGCAATGCAACAGATACCGACTGCTGTTTGGTGGAGGTCAGGTATTTCTATTTCCCTGAACGGTTTCCGACTGTTGAGAAGGTTTGCCTGGTGTTGTGACCTGTGTTTCTGGAAATTCGCTTGGCATCTGTTCTCTTGATCCACACTCTTGTGCGTCGACACGTTTTGCCCTCAGTTGGTGGTGTTCACTCCTCTTCCTCACAAACCGCGTCTGCTCAGGCTCGTTGTTCACCACTAGAGGCCACCCCCTGAGCACACAGCCCCGCACCAGCCCTCAGCCCGCAGGTTCACGTCCGTGGGAAGGATGTCCCTCGCTTGGGCCGCCTCAGGGGAATTGAGCCCCCCTTGGCCCGGGGTACCCTGTGCAGCTCGGCCCGCCCTCTGCCTGCACTCTGCCTTTTTGTAAAACTTGGCTTCATGGCAGAGGTGCCGGCTCAGCCGGGGTTGGGGCTGAGCCTTCTGCGAACAGCGCTGGGAGCGGAACCTGCCTCGGGGGGCTACAGGGCACTGGTGTGCTGGGCGGGCACTGCTCTTTATGTGCCTGTCCTGGCTCTCCGCTGCTGGCTGTCCGTGCAGCCGCACAGCCTAGAGCTGGTGTCTGTTCTGTGGTGTCTAGGTGGCACTTGTACAATGGACTAAGAATTCCAAGTGAGTCCGAGGAACTCAGATGCTAACCTCACTGAAATTAATACAGCTGTGGTTTGCGATCTGCCTACTTTGCCAGCCCTCTCTCCAAAATACCATGCAGAAATTCCGGAGATTCCTCAAGCGTGCATAAGAGACTGCTTTGAAGGGCCTACGACAATACATTTAATGTCCTTTGATCTCTGAATTTGTTAGTCTCCAGAAGGCAAAGTTGGTGGTTTTTTCAACTCTGGAAACAGGTTTTACCCATGGGGGTGGGCTGCAATGAAACAAGCTACTCTTTGTCTTCATGGAAAAAGTTGTCCCAATCAATGGAGAAAGCTATACTATAATTTCTTTGAAATACTGACTAGAAAAAGGCATATGAGAAAGCTGGACAGAAGCAAATGCAACTCCCAAAAGATAGCGAATAACAAGGGAGCTCTTTCTGATCATTTGTTTGTTGAGTTGCGCCGAGCTGTGGCAGCAGCCAAGCAATCAAATTGGTTGCAAACTGTAGTCAGGAATGCTTTTAAGTAGCAGCTGGATGTGGCTGAAAGAGTTAATGTTAATTTTCCTCCCAGTACAGATCCTCCTATGTCCAAAAGTAAACATGCCAGGTAGTTTCACATGTGCTTCATTTCTCACCAGTAGAAAGCAAATATTGCTGTTAGTATTAACATTTGATGGAGGAGAACTTTGTAAGCATCCTGTACATTGTATTTGCTTTTACCTTCTTGTCTGTTCAAAACCACATCACAAGTTTGTCCGTTTCCCTTTAAACCAATGAGTGTTGGAAAACAACAATGAGTGTTGGAAAACCAATGAGTGTTGGAAACCAACAATCGTTTTGTGAATCACAATCTGAAACATTCATTTTACAGTCATGGTTCTGTAACCGTTCATGTTTCTTTGTGTCAGGCCTGGGGGGGCACTCATTTGATGCCAACTTTATTAGCTTTCATATAGTGCTGAGATGCTGCGCACTGTTCTGGGCTGATAGTCAACTGCTATTGAGTCTTAGAGCTCAGCTTCACAAGAGTGTCTGGCATGGTATGAAAAAACAAAGGCACAGCCCAGGAGGCTCCAGGAAGATTATGATCTGCCCCGAATGCTCAGAAATTGCGCTTTAACTCTGAATTTCATTATCAGCTACTGTGATGTATCATCAGCTTTTCTACCTGGAGGCATGCATTGGCATGACTTTGTATTTTCATTTTAAGTGTTTAC